CCGCGCAGCTCCGCGCATCCCGCAGCTCCGCGCACACCGCGGAGCTCCGAGCACCGCTCAGCACCGCGCAGCTCCGCGCACACCCCGCAGCTCCGCACACCGGGCACCGCTCAGCTCCGCGCACCGCTCAGCCCCGCGCATCCCACAGCTCTGCACACCGGGCACCGCTCAGCCCCGCGCAGCTCCGCACATCTCGCAGCTCCGCTCAGCCCCGCGCAGCCCCGCTCAGCCCGCCCGGCCCCGCCGCGCCGCGGCCGCGGAGCCTCCGCCCGGCGCCGCCGCCTCCCACGCGGAGCCGCCGGCAGCGGCCCCGGGCAGGGCGGCACCGCCCCGCGCAGCGCCACTCCTCCCGCACCGCCCCTGGATCCGCCCCTGGATCCGCGCACCGCACCTGGGCCCGCCCCGCCATCCGTAGCCTCTGACCCTGCGCGGCTCCGAGCGCATCCAGCCCGCGCACAGCCCGCCCTCCGCATCCCCGCATCCTCCTCCTCCTCGTCATCCTCCTTCCCTTCATCCTCTCCCCAGCATCCTTCACTCATCCTCCTCCTCCTCGTCATCCTCCTTCCCTTCATCCTCTCCCCAGCCCGCCCTCCGCATCCCCGCATCTTCCTCCTCCTCGTCATCCTTCTTCATCCTCTCCCCAGCATCCTTCGCTCATCTTCCTCCTCCTCCCATCCTCCTCCCCTCATCATCTTCCTCCTCATCTTCCTCTCCCCAGCATCATCCCCCGAGGCTCCATCCCTCCTCCTCCTCCTCCTCCTCCTCGCAGGGGCCCGAGCTCCCACAGAGCCAAGCAGGAGGGGCCGAGGGGAGGTCAGACACCCCCACCTTTCCCATATCCCATTCCATCCCATCCCGGTTTCATCCTCATCGCATCCGGTTTTATTTGAAGTTTTCCAGGTGCTTTGATTCCCCCAGAGCCCCCCAGCACTGCCGGGACGCAGAGGGGCACAGCCCCTTCCAGCCGGGAAGAAATTCCCCGGGAGAAGCCACAAAGCTCAGCCCTGATCCAGAACCGGCGGCGAGCAGGAAATGGGTCCCGGGATGCGGATAAATGACCGGGAATGATGGAAGAGTTTGGGTGGGAAGGGAGCTGCTGATGCTCCCAGGGGTCAGGCTGGATCCAGGGCTGCTCCAGGACTGCTGCCGTCAGCTCCACAGGAATCTTGGATTGTCACCTTTTAGCCATGTGATCGAGCCCAGCCACACCTCTTGTTTACCCAGTATCCCTTCACCTTCCTCGGAACTGATTCCCAAGGATTTTTCTTGCCCTTGATTTTCTATTCCAGCTTTTTTTTGTTTTCTTTCTGTCATTAAATTAATTTAGTTTCTCACTCTTCTGTTTTCTATTCCAAATCTCTCCTGTTCCCCACCCTTTTTTCCTGGGATTGGCAAAATGCCTGTTAATTTTCCCACCCAATTAAAGGAAATTTTGTATGGAATTCATCCCAAACTCTGGCCACGCTGGCAGAACCCTCCTGGCGCAGAGATCCACCAGCCTTGCCAGCTTCCCCTCTCCTATTCCTCCTTCCTCCATCCCTCCCGTGTTCCCAGAGGCCTCTCCATGGGCTGGAATTGGGCAAAGCTTCCCTGTGATCCATCTGGGTGTGCCAGAGCCAATCCAAGGGGAGCCATTCCCGGGAATTGCTGCAATTTGCTTTCGGGGGGATGAGCAGATTCCCGGCACCCACGTTCCGCCAGCCACGGGGGGAGGAGGAAATGGTGGGAGTGGGAAGGGAATGATGGACATGGAGATGCCACCCCAAGGGTCCTGGAGACAGGAAGCTGCTCCAGGAGCACTGGAAGAGCTCTTCCCCCCTGGATCGATGGAATTCCCAGCTGATCTGCTGTGCAGGGACACCTCCCACTGTCCCAGGCTGCTCCAAGTCCTGCCCAACCCGGCCTTGGACACTTCCAGGGATCTGGAAACATCCATGGAATAACCTGTGCCAGCCAGGAATTCCCAATCTCCCATCCCTCCCTGCCCTCTGGCACTGGGAGCCATTCCCTGGGTCCTGTCCCTCCATCCCTTGTCCCCAGTCCCTCTCCAGCTCTCCTGGAGCCCCTTCAGGCCCTGCAAGGGGCTCTGAGCTCTCCCTGGATCCTTCCCTTCTCCAGGGGAACATTCCCAGCTCTCCCAGCCTGGCTCCAGAGGGGCTCCAGCCTTGGAGCTGCTCCATGGTCTCCTCTGGACCCTCCAGCAGCTCCATGTCCATCATCCTTGTGCCGATTATCCCACAGATCCAACCTTCCCACGGCTGCTGCGGTCCCAGCCCAATGCTCCAGGTGAAGTTTCCCATCCCAGGTTTGTGTTGATCCATTTAAACTCTCCTGGATCCTGAACCCGGGAGTTCCCTTTTCCTGGATCCGCTTTTCCTGCAGTTCCATTCCTCACCTGCAATTCTCTGATCTCAGCACCTGGAGGCTTTTCCAGGCTTTAGCTGACGTGGGGATGATGATAAATAAAATGGGCGAAATTAATTATTTATTCCCAGAATTAACAGAGACATTCCCAAACCTCTCTCTTCCAATCCCACCGCCTGGATATGGATTTGAGGGCAGATCCTGCTGTTTTCCCTCGGAAAAATCATTTCCAGTTTGAAATGGGAGTTGGAGCAGGCAGTCAGGATTTTCCTGACCCCCAAAATATCCTAATCCCTAAATGCCTTAAATAAATCCCAAAAAAAAGTTTTCCAAGGAAATGAGATGGAGGTTGGTTCCCTCTCTGTAATTTTCTATCAATCCTAAAAATTAACATTTCTGAGAAATTCCAAAGAAAAAGTGGGAAATACCTCCGTGCCTGCATTCATCCCTTCCAAAGGGATTCTTGGGTGATTCATTCCCAGGCTCCACAGCCCATCATTAACACGAGCAGTTAATTACCTCAAATGCTTTAATTACCAGGGGCCTCGGCAGGGTTTGGTGTCACCTGCAGCTCCAACCCCCCAGACACCTGCAGGGACATCCTGGAGCAGGGAATTCCTGAGAAAAGGGATTTTACTGGGGGGCTTTCCATATTTTTCAGACAAGGAAGCAACTCTGGATGCAGGGAATCTCATTAAAGGAGTTCTTAATTAATCCTGTTGGGATTTAATTGATTGAAGGGCACTTCAGCAGTGTAGGAAGAATTATAAAATTAATTATTAATACAGAAATTCTATTTATAAAAATCCTAATTTTATAAATACAAAACCCTCATTTTAAAAATAGCTCCGGTTCCGATGCCGAGGATCCTTGGGATGGGACAGGGCAGCGTTGGGAATGTGGAGCTGTCCCCCCTTGGAATGTTCCATAGGGAAGTGCCAACCCTCTCTGCCACTGTCCCCAGGACATTCCCGACCTCCTCCTTCCCATCCCAACCCCAATTCCCGGCCCCAGGACACACCCAGGGCTCTGGTGTGGCCAAAACCCTCGGGAAGGAGACGAAATAAAGAATTGATTCCTCTTTTCCTGCATGGAAATTCCTGTTTAAATTTGATCCTGAGGTTTTCCCGCTTTTTTTTTTTTTTACAAAGCAGAACAAAACCTCCCTTTTTTTTGTGGGGGTGGAGCTGTTAAATCCCATTTTGTATCTTTGGGGTGATTGGAGGATGAAGAGCAGGAATATTCGGGCAGGAGGCTGGAGATGAGCCCCTGATCTGAGTTAATCCAGGATATTCCAGCGCCATGCACACCCAGCAATCCCTTTCCCAACTGAACTCCCTCCTGCTTCCCGTTCAATGCATTTATCCCGGAAATATCCTCTGATTTACACCTCACCCATAAAGCCCCGGATGAATCCAGAACCACCAGAGCAGGGTACAGAAAATACCGGCATTTTTAATGACCCAGTGCATTTACAGAGATTTTTGGGAACTGTGAGGGAAATCCTGGGAAATATTTCCCCACTTATCCGCGCTGGGATCCTGCTGCCCTGGGATTTCAGTCTCCTGAACCCTCTGGGCAGTGAGAATTCCCAAAATCCCAGCCCAGAGGGCCGCAGCTGCATTTGGGGTGTCTCCCAAAGGAATGTCCCCAGCACATCCCGGGAATGTCCCTGTCCCCACATCCCAGCTGGAGCAGCTCCGGAGGACCAGCAGCGCTTTGGGAACAGCCACACCCACAAAAGGACGGAGCCCCCAAATCCCTAAAACCAGAAAGGAGCCTCTGTGATTCCAGTGGGAATGGGAACACCTGGAGGCGGAGCTGGGAGCGGATCCAGGGACAGAGCCGTGCCTGTGGCTGGTGGGATGCAGGGATTCATGGATGTGCTGGGATGGAGGGATGGAGACCCTCCAAGCTTCAGAGGTCTCAGCTCTGGTCCTTCCAGGAGTCCCCTGAGCCCCAGGTCTGGCCCCAGCTCCATTCCCATGGGAGGGACAGCTCCATTCCCATGGGATGGACAGCTCCATTCCCATGGGAGGGACAGCTCCATTCCCAAGGGAGGAGAGACAGCTCCATTCCCATGGGAGGAGGGACAGCTCCATTCCCATGGGAGGGACAGCTCCATTCCCAAGGAAGTAGGGACAGGTCCCTCCGCGCCGCTCCGAGGTCCCGCGGATATCGCTGCTTCCCCTCAGCATTGCCATGTCTCCTGTGGCCTCACCTCTTGGAATTCTTGGTGAAGTGCAGTCTTAGCCTGATTTTCCCAACACCAGATCCCATTTTTTTTCCAGCAAAATCCCAGGAAGCTTTGGTGCTGTCAAATCCCACCGGGCACGAGAGAACACCCCAGATCCTCCAGGATATTCTCCAGGACATTCTCCAGGAGAGCCCAGCGCATCCCAGCAGCTCGGGCCACACCTCCCAGGGCCACCTGTCCGTGGTGACAGCAACACCTCCACATCCCAACGTCTCCAGGGTCAGCCATGCCTCTGGAATCTCGGGAGCGCGCTGCTGCCGGTATCCGCAGCTCGGATCGCTCGGAGGGACCGGGAACTCGCCGGTGGCTCCGCTGGGACGGGGCTGGGTGCTGCTGGGAGCAGCGGGAAAAGCGGGAACAGCGGGATGTGAGGCGGGAATCAGGCTCCCAGGGTCATGTTGCGCAGCAGCCACTGCTGGGAGCGGCCGCTCCCGCATTCCCGCATGGTGGGAACCAGCCGATCCTCCTCCGATGGCTCCGCCAGGCACTGGTTGCTGTTCAGGTGCCTCAGGGTGAGCTTCTGCAAGGGGGAACAGAGAATTCCCACTGAAACCCAGAATTCCAGTTGGGGAATGCCATGTCCCGGCATTCCAGGCCCGGTTTGGTCAGTGTGTGGAGCACTGGGAATCTCCTGGAGCTCCGGGACATCCCCACCACACGGAGCCACCCTGCTCCTCCCTCTGCTCAACCGACAAATCCCTCTTCAAAGGGAAAATAATTCCAGGGAAATCTGATATTCCCAAGGCACAGCTGCTGGATGGAGGAGCTGGGTCTCCACGTGGACACATGGAATGTTTGGGACCAGAGCAGGAATTGCTGCTGGTGGAAATGTATTTGCTCAGTATTCCATGGAAACGCTCCTCTTCCCGGGCATTTTTCCTTCTCGGGAAGCCCCTTCTGATCCCACCACATTTCTGAGGGATGGGAGAATTGGAAGGACACAAAACAAACTGGAAGGAATAAAACACCACCTGTTCCACTGGAAGAACAAATTCACAGAGAAATCCCGGGAAGTTAAACAGGGAATTCTGTCAAATAACACCAGAGAGGTTCAGTCCCGGCTGAACCGGGAGCATTCCCACCATCATTCCTTGGGAGTGTGCCAGGGCCTCACCTCCCATCCAGGAATTCCCACTTCCCAATATCCCATCCATCTCTGCCCTCTGGCACTGGGAGCCATTCCCTGGGTCCTGTCCCTCCATCCCTTGTCCCCAGTCCCTCTCCAGCTCTCCTGGAGCCCCTTCAGGCCCTGCAAGGGGCTCTGAGCTCTCCCTGGATCCTTCCCTTCTCCAGGGGAACATTCCCAGCTCTCCCTGGATCCTTCCCTTCTCCAGGGGAACATTCCCAGCTCTCCCTGGATCCTTCCCTTCTCCAGGGGAACATTCCCAGCTCTCCCTGGATCCTTCCCTTCCCCAGGGAAACATTCCCAGCTCTCCCAGTACCCCTGGGAATGGGGAATTTCAGGGTGGAAATCCCGTCTGCAGATGATCCACTGGAGCAGAGCCCAATTTTATGGCAAGGGAACAAACAGGGAAAACCAGGACGGGCAGGAAAATCCTGGAGCCCTGAGGAGAGGGGAGAAAGGAGGAATTAATCCCAAAATTCATCCCAAACAGCCCAGGCTGATGTCAAACCTTGGGATCTCCCTAGGGATAGAGGGGCTGGAATGATGGGAGGTGCTTGAGGGCTTGGGCTCAAGCAGGAGCATAAATATTGATGTAATATTAAAAAATATTTATATAAAATAAACAATAGGAGAAAAATAAAATAATATTAAATAGTTTAAATTATAATATTATATATGATATTAAAATAATATATTAAATAATTTAGATTATATATAAAATTACTATAAAATATAGATTATATTATATTAATGTAACATAATTATTATATCATATCATATAATATCATATATTATATTATATTATATTATATTTAAATATAAATAATATAGAACAATGAAAAATTAAGACACAAAAATATATTAAATGGTATAATACAGAATAATATAAAATAAGCAATTAAATTATGCTCTCCGGGCTCATAAACACCATTTATATTCATTATTTATAAGATTTTTATATAATTATATTTTTATATATTATTTATGTATATTATGATTTATATTTAGTGGAAAATATAGCATAGTATTTATATATTACATAATAAACATATTGTTGTTTATTTATATTTACTGTAAAATTATAATAATTATAAGTTATTATATTTAATATACAATATAATGAAATTATAGAATAATTATCTGGTGTAAATGTATATCTACTGTATTTAATATATTATTAATATATTATTATATTAATTATATATATTAATTTATTTGATATTTTTAATATTAATAACAATTATTTATATATATTATTGTAATTTTATTTATAGATAAAAATATAGAAAATAAAGACATATATAGATAGAAATTTTTCAATATAGATCTACAAAAAGGCTTTTTATCCCCAACCAAACTTCTGGGAAATTCCCACACGGAATTTGGTTTTCCTGCCCCCATCTCCCCATCCTGATCCACTGAATATGAAAAATTCCATGATAATTACAGGAAAAAATCTGGAAAAAATTCAACTTCTAGGTAAAAAATCTGGGAAAAATCTGGGAAAACTCTGTGGAAAATCCTAGGAAAAGCTGAACCTTTTTGAGAAAATATTTTGCAACTGGAATTATTTTTATGTCTTGGAATAGGAGATAAATCTTCAGCTCCTGCAGGCTGGAACAATCACAGTGACAGCAAGAGATCAAGGGAGTTGAATTAATAGAAAATTAATTAAAACAAATAACAATTAAGACTAATAATTACTAGTAACTAATAATTACTGAGAACTAAGAAGAACTAACATTAAACACTTGGTCTATCCTATGGCTATAGAATCATCTTCTGTCTTGTTCTATGGAAAAATCTGATATGAAATTAAATTTATTAAATTTTTATTAAATTCTCTGAAAAAAATTCTATCGAATTCTGAAATTCTATTAATTTTTATGAAAATTCTATCCTAATGCTATTAAAATTCTATAAAAAAAAATCCATTAAAATTCTACCAAAAAATTCTGTTAACATTCTAAGGAAATTCCATGAAAAATTCCAGGAAAAGTCCGCAAAAAATACACGAAAATTTGATGAAAAATATGAAGAAAAATTTGGGGCAAAATTTTCATGAAAATAAAACTTTTCATGTCAAAAACGACATGAAAAAATACGTCAAAAAAGGGAAGAAATGATGAAAAATGTGTGAAAAAGTGAATAAAAAATTCTCATAAAAATTCCATGAAAAATCTATGAATTCCATGAAAAATTAACATTTTTGAAACCGTCAAAAACAAAAACAAAAAAAATCTAAAAAATACAAAAATTTCCAAAATAAAACAAGACAGAATTTTCGCCGAGCTCCTCCAGCAGAGCCGGAAGAATCCCTGGGAATTCCTTACCCCACCACATCCTGGATTTCCTTCCAATCCCAACGTCCCTACAGGAAATAATCGGTGGGGCTGGAATAAACCTTCCTAAAGACTTCCAGGCGGGAATAATTCCTGAGGATCCAGGTCTGCAGGGGGCTCCCATCGCAGGCCTCCACCGTGGGGCCCTGGGAGCCGTCCTCGATCCTGCCCAGCGTCAGGCACGACTGCGTGATGATGTGCAGGAATGTGCGCCTCTGGAAAAGCGGGAACGCTCAGCGGGAACGGCCGAGGGCGGCGGGAAGAGCGGGGAAAACGTGGGAATTGCTACTGGAGAATGGCGACGGGAACGGCGAGTGGGTCGGGATTTTGGAGTTTCGGATTCACCAAGGTGAACGTCCAGAGGGAAATTCATGGAGTGGGATTGAATTCCAGGCAAAAATCTCCTCCCTGCTCTTGAGAGCATTCCCATGATCCAGAGTGGATTGTGGCTCTCAATCCCGTTCTCCCTACCCCTGGATTGCTGCAATTCCCTGCTGGAAAGATCCAGGCAGAGGTGGGGTTCTCCTAGCAGGAATATCCCAAAACTTCCAGGTTGCTCTTGAGAGCATTCCCGTGATCCGCTGCAGAGCGTGGCTCCCAATCCTGCCTCTCCAACCCCCTGGATTGCTGCGATTCCCCATGGGAAGGATCCAGGCAGAGATGGGTTTTATTCCTGCACAAACATCCCAAAATTTCCTCCCCGAGACCATTCCCAAGCTCCACCACGGAGCGAGGCTCCCGATCCTGCCTCTCCAAGCCCTTGGATGGACGGCTGAGATTCCTGCCTGGAAAGATTTGGGCACAGACGGAGTTTTTCCTGCACAAACCACCCTGAATCCCATTTGGGAATTACTCCATTAAAACCAGAATTCATTAAACATTTATGTGGGTTTGTTTTTTTTTTTCCCCAACCACAATTTCAGCTTTTCCTTCCCAGTGCCCATTCCAGGTGGGATGAGATGAAGGGGAGCTTCCACTTCCCTGGATTCTCCCCACTGGCATCATCCCATCACCGAGCGGCTGGAATGCTCTTCCCACATCCCAGCTCCTCTCCCGCTCCTTTCCCGTGATTTTGGCTTGGGAATGGAAAAAGTGACGTGAGGATAAAGGAGCCACTAAAAATACCAGGGCCAAGTGTCCCTAAAATGTCACTTGGAGGCAGCAGCAGGGCTGGATCGCTCCGGATCCGCGCTCCCTGCTCCTCCTGCCTGGGAATCTTTCCAGGGAAAGCAGAGGTCCATAAGAAAAGGACCTGGAATTCTCTCTCTGGTTTCACAGGATATGAAATATCCCAAGGCAGCGGATTCCTCACATGGGGATCAACATGAATGTGGGAATCTGAGCAGGCTTTTCCTGGATTCATGGAATGGTTTGGGATGGAAAGGCCTTAAATCTCATCCCAATCCAGCCCTGCCATGGCAGGGGCACCTCCCCTCCAAATCCCAAATCCAGCCTGGCCTTGGGCACTGCCAGGGATCCAGGGGCAGCCACAGCTCCTCTGGGAATTCCCAATTCCCAATCCCCCACCCATCCCTGCCCTCTGGCACTGGGAGCCATTCCCTGGGTCCTGTCCCTCCATCCCTTGTCCCCAGTCCCTCTCCAGCTCTCCTGGAGCCCCTTCAGGCCCTGCAAGGGGCTCTGAGCTCTCCCTGGATCCTTCCCTTCTCCAGGGGAACATTCCCAGCTCTCCCTGGATCCTTCCCTTCTCCAGGGGAACATTCCCAGCTCTCCCTGGATCCTTCCCTTCTCCAGGGGAACATTCCCAGCTCTCCCAGGCTGGCTCAGGGAGCAGGAAGCTCTGGAATGTTGGAGCAGCAGCTATGGAGAAGCACTGAGCGAGGGCGCAGCTACAGGAGCTATTCCAGGAATCGGGATTTGGCACAGGGATTGCTCCAGACTTACCTCAAAGCTATATTCCCATTTCCCAAAATACTGAGGGAAGGGGAGACAGAAGGAAAGCGGAGTCAGAGATCCAAGGAACAGTTTTTGTGCAGCCCCTCAGCTCTCCCCGGATGGAAATTCCGCAGCTTTGCACGGACACCGCGATTGGGGACAAATAGTGGCAATTACCCAGAAAAAAATCACGGAATTCCAAGCAGGAGGGGATCCATAGGGATCATCAATCCAACCCCTGGCCCTGCCAGGAGATCCCAACAATCCCATCCTGTCCCTGAGAGCGTTGTCCAAACACTCTGGAATTATTTACATTGGAATATTATATAATTTTATATATATTATATTGGAATATTATGTAATATTCCAAGCTCTGGCAGCCTTGGAATAAACCCTGAGGGATCCATCTGGAATAAATCCTGAGGAATTTGATAGGAATAAACCCTGGGGGATTTTTCAGGAATAAACCCTGCCATCACCATCCATCCACAGGGAATTAAACTCCTTCCTATCAGCTGTGACACATTTCCAGCTCTGTATTTTCCCTGGATTCCTTTGTTTGTGTCCCAAGATTTCATCCTTCCCCATATCCAGGGGTTTTCCCTGGATGTCACAATGGGAATCATCAGGCGTGGGAGCCTGGAATTTATTCAATATTTAAACAAATTAAATTAGAAAAGTATAAAAATTAACAATAGCGGGAAATTGTAGAAAATTCCATGGAAATCCCTCAGAGAAATCCCTTTTTTGGGATTATTTCATATCCAGCTGTGGCTTTGCTGTCCCTTGCCAAGCCAGAATTCCTAAAAATTCCTAAAAACCACCCAAAATCCTTCCATGCAATTCCTGAATAAGTAAGGAAAGGAAAAATCAGTGTAATTCCACTGGAAAATCAAATTAATGAATACAAGGGACTTAGGAAATGTCCTGTAACTGCTTCTCTGGGAAAAAAAATAAATGGAATATCACAACTTGTTTTCTTGGGAAAAGATCCTGGATATTAGGAATGTTTGGAGGTTAATAATAGATACATAATTAATGGGAATAATGAAATGAAAGGGAAAACGGGCAGCTGAAATCAGAATATTCCAAGGAAAATTGGTGATGAAAAGATTTGCTCAATAAATCCAGGGATAGGGAATGCAATGGGATGTTTTCCAGGAGAACAAGCAGCCAATCCTTGGAGATGCCATAAAAACATGGAGCATTCCTGTTTTAGGAGCTCCATCTCATGGCCGAGCTGCGTTTTACACAATTCCCGGGAAATTCTGCTCAATTTCAGGGAAAATCCAGCACATTCCCTATATTCTTCCAATATTTTATCGGAAGAATTCCAGCCTTCCAGGCAGGAAGGGCGGAGGTGTCCAAGGAATTCCTGGATGTAGCTGGGGACAAGGTGGGGATGGGGCACGGCTGATGATGACCTGGGAGGGCTTTTCCAGCCTCAGGGGGGACAGCAGCAGGAATTTCCCCATGGAAAGGGCGCTCAGGCCTTGGAAGTGCCCAGGGAGGTTTGCAGTGCCCATCCCTGGAGGTGTCCAGGGAATTCCTGGAGGTGGCACTCAGGGCTGGGGACACGGTGGGGTTGGGCACGGCTGGGACTCCGTGACCTTGGAATGCTTTTCCAGCCCCAGGGATGGTGGGATTGTTCCCAAATCACCCCGGGATCGGGATACCTCGGCGTCGTACTCCCAGAGCTGGTTGCCCCTCAGGTGGTGGCACTTGAGCATCAGCACGGGGCCGTTGAGGCGCGACACGTCCAGGCACAGGTCATCCGTACGGATCTCCTTGTCCGCCGTGTAGGAAAACACCTGGAACACACAGCGGGAATGGGAAAGGCCTGGGAGCTCCGGCCCCAGCTCAGGGAGGGACCCCTCAGGAGCTGGAGCCTTTCATCGGAGAAATCCACCAGAATTCACGGGAACGGAAAGGTTTTCCGTTGGAGGAATCCATTGGAATTAAATAAGGGAAAGGTTTCCCATTGGAGGAATCCACTTGAATTAAAGATTAATTAGAATCCATCAAAATTAATCCATCAGAATTAATCCATTAGAATTAAAGATTGGGGAAATCCATTGGAATTCAGGGGAAGGGAAAGGTTTTCCATTGGAGGAATCCATTGGAATTAAATAATAATCAGAAACCATTAGAATTAATCCATTAGAATTAAAGATTGGGGAAATCCATTGGAATTCAGGGGAAGGGAAAGGTTTCCCATTGGAGGAATCCACTGGAATTCAGGGGAAGGGAAAGGTTTTCCATTGGAGGAATCCATTGGAATTTAGGGGAAGGGAAAGGTTTTCCATTGGAGAAATCCATGGAAATGAGGCCAAGCTCCAGTGAGGATGGAGGAAGTGACAGGAGGAGATGGCAGGAGTTGGGATGGAGCTCCAGGATAAATCAGGGATGGGAACACCCCAGCCTTTCCCAGCAGGAATGTGGCCAGGAGCAGGTGTCCGGAATACCAGAGCTTCCAGGGAATTGTGACCATGCCACCCATGGAAAATTCCACACATAAATAACAAAAAACTTAGAATTAATTAAATTAGAAATAATTTAAAATACCCTTAAAAATCCCTTCATTATAATTTACATCCCAAACCCCATCTGGAGCAGCCATGCTAATTTGAATATCCGCTGGAATATGCAAATTTTATTCTAATTAACCCAGAGTCGCCGGTCACAAGACCAAGAATTCCAATCCACTTTTCCCCTCCCTTTCCAGCCCCTCCAAACGAAACACCCCAGCCCCCTCCTCACTGGAATTCCACGGAAGAACTCAACTTCCATGAATATCCTGGATATTTCTTTTCCCCCCACACATCCAGAACCGATGGATCCAGCCACGTTTATGGAGATTCCTGCCCAGTTCATTTTAACGAAAATAAATTCAAATTCCTGACCAAATTTCCCGATGTTCGTGTCTGGAATGTTAAATTTATTCTGAAATGACAGCAGGGCCCTGTTCAATATATTCCCTGGGATACTTCCCATGGATTTGCATCAATATTCCCCCAAAATCCGGAGCTGAAATTGAAGAAAATGGCTGAGTCCTCTTAAAATCCTTCAGCCCCAAACCGAAAACATTTTGGAATTTTCCTTGTTTATTTTGATATTACTTTCACACAAAATCTAGAACGGACTTGAAATAGACATTCAAAATATTCCAAAGGAATTCTTGGCTAAAGAAGCCGATTTTTCCCACTTTTTCTTTACCTGGTTCCCTCCCATGCCGTGGCAGTTGAAAAATCCTACTTTTTCGTTCTCCTTGCGGCCCATGTTGTCCAAGCACTGGTTGGTTTCAACATTCCTGATCTGGAGAAAGGAAAAGAGGTGAAACATTCCTTAAAATATTTCCTGGGCCTGCCAGATTTGTGCAGGAAATTGCAATTTGGAAACAGATCGTGTTCCCAAGAAGTCACAGAACGCTTTAGGTTGGAAGTGGCTCCAAAGCTCATCCAAGGCCACCTCTCACTGTTCCATGCCAAGCCGTGAGGGAATTCAGGATGATTATCCCAAATCTGTCAAAATCTCCGTTCTTTTTCTTCCTGTTCATCCCAGAAAACAACAAAACATCCACCTGGGAAATGCCCTTTGGGGCCTGGTGCTGCTCACCTTTGACTGGCACCGTTTTTCCTTGGATTTGAGCCCAGGAGGAGCCATCCAGGGCGGGACATGGATCATTTATGGCCTAATGATGCTGCTCCAGCTTGGCTGGATCAAATCCTGCCCCAACCTCTTCTGAAAGGCAGGAAAATCTCAAAAAAAACCTGCACTTCCAGTGCCTTCAAAATTCCAAATTTTTCTGCTGCTCCCTGGGTTCGAGGGCTGCAATTCCCAGTTCCTGCTGCCCTGGAACAGCCAAGCCGGGCTCCAATTCCCAGCTCCTGCCTGAGCTGCTGTTTCCATGGAAACCGAGGCCACACTGCACAAATCAGGTGTTTGAATCGCTATTTTCTGCCTTTCTCATCCCATTTTCCAGCCTGCCAACAGGGCACAATCCCACTTCATTTGACATTCCCTAGACAAGTCCTTTCCTCGCTGGAAACCCCCGTTTCCCTTTATTTTGGCAGGATTAAACCTGGAATCCTCCAGTGCCTTTTATTCCTGCCTACAATGACAAATTTCAATGGGAAATCACTTCCCTGGATGTCAAAAAAAAAAAGAAAAAAGCCATTTGTTCCGTGGAGTGCTATTCCAGGATTGTTATTCCATCATCAAATCCTTTGATTGTTATTCCATCATCATCAAATCAACCCATTCCAGAGCTTTGAAAAGGCAGCATAGGAACAACTCAATGTAACATTTTTTAATTGTGAATTTGTTGAATTGGAAAGAAATTCCAGCTCCTGGTGGTCCCAGAACCTTGGGATAACCAGGAATATCCGTGATCCTCAGCTCCAGCCTGGAAAACACTCAGTGAGCAAACGTTCCTTTAAAAAATAATCCCCCAAAAAGCCATTTTTAGTCTCTTTCTGAACGATAAATGATGATGGAAGGTTCCCCTCACGGGCTGCATATCCATTGTGTCAAAATATTAATCCCAAACTCCACTTTTCCAATCTCCTGCTCCATTTGGGAAATAAATGTGCCAGGTGAACATTGGGAATAGACACTGGATTTAAAGGGAGATTTGTAAGGAGAGGGAATATGTTTGGAACAGCGACTTCTCCTCAAAAAGGACTTTAAAAAAAGGAAATAAAGAGAAATAAGAAATCAAGAGGAATAAAAGACAAGCAGGGAATTCCAGCACCGGAGTCTTGGCTCCGAAGCCACCTCATCCCTTTGGGAATGGATCCATTGGCTCTGGACATTTCCTGCTTTCCTTCACCTACTGCTTTGTTGTTCTTACTCCTTTCCTTGCTGGTTTTTTGTACCCACTGGTTTTCCTTAGTCACTGCTTCCAGTTCTTACTGGTTTCCGGCATTTACTGGTTCCCTTCATTTACTGGTTCCAGTTCTTACTGGTTCCCCTCATTTACTGGTTCCAGTTCTTACTGGTTTCCTGTATTTACTGGTTCCAGTTCTTACTGGTTTCCTGCATTTACTGGTTCTCTTCATTTACTGGTTCCAGTTCTTACTGGTTCCCCTCATTTACTGGTTCCAGTTCTTACTGGTTTCCTGCATTTACTGGTTCCAGTTCTTACTGGTTTGCTGCATTTACTGGTTCCAGTTCTTACTGGTTTCCTGCATTTACTGGTTCCCTTCATTTACTGGTTTCCTCTGCCACTGGTTTTTCCTTTATTTACTGGTTTCCAGTACTACTGGTTTGCTGTAGTTACTGGTTTCTTGTGTTTGCTGGTTTTCTTTACTTGCTGCTTTCTTTACTCACTGGTTCCCTGGATTTACCGGTTCCCTGGATTTACTGGCTCCTTTACTCACTGGTTTTCTGTAGTTACTGGTTTCCCGTATGATTGGTTCCCTGGATTTACTGGTTCCCTGGATTTACTGGCTTCTTTACTTACTGGTTTCCTGTAAGACTCCTTTCCTTTGCTTACTGGTTTCCAGTTCTTACTGGTTTCCCATACTACTGATTCCCTTCATTTACTGGTTTCCTGCATTGCTGATTCCCGTTACTCACTGGTTTCCTGTACTACTGGTTGTTCCTTTACTCACTGGTTTCCTGTACTACTGGTTGTTCCTTTACTCACTGGTTTCCTGCATTGCTGATTTACCTTACTTTTCCTTTACTCACTGCTTTCCTGTAGTTACTGGTTTCCATATGATTGGTTCCCTGGATTTACTGGTTCCTTTATTTACTTGGTTTCCTGTAAGATTCCTTTCCTTTGCTTACTGGTTTCCAGTTCTTACTGGTTCCCTGGATTTACTGGTTCCCTGGATTTCTTGGTTTTCCTGCTTTCCTAGACTCCCTGCTTCGTTGTAGTCACTGGTTTCCTGGATTTCCTGCTTCCCTTTCCTTACTGGTTTCCAGTTCTTGCTTCACTTACTGGTTTGTTGTGCTCCAGGTTTCCTGCACTTATTGATTTCCTTTCATTCCTGGTTTCCTTTCATTCCTGGTTTCCTGCAATTCCTTACTCCTTTTACTTCCTGGTGTCCTGTCATTCCTGGTTTCCTTTCATTCCTGGTTTCCTGCAATTCCTTACTCCTTTTATTCCTGTTTTCCTTTCATTCCTGGTTTCCTGCACCCCTGGATTGCCGCGTTTCCCGTTTTCCCGCGATTCCCGGCCCGTACCTCTCCCAGGGAGTAGTAGCGCCGCGGGATCTGCGAGTCGGGGTAGATGTTCTCCAGGTACCAGGAGAAGGGCTTGCACCCCAGGCTCTCCCGCAGAGCTTTCCTGACGGAAACGTCTCCGTAATCCACCTTCACCACCCCTGGAACGGCGAGACAAGAGCCCATCAAACATCTGGGAAAATCCCGGAGCCGCCTCCAGATCCCGATTCCAATCCGTGTGCTGGGATTGGGAGCAGCGGGATGGGAGGGATGAGCGGCTGCCCCTCCGTGGAGGTGTGCAAGGGGTAATTCCTTATCCATTCATTAATTAATGGAGCCAAGAGAAATGCTTGGAAAATGATCCCTTTTCTTTCCTTTGTCAGTCTGGAAAGGCAGAATTCCTTGATTTCTTTGTATTCCAAAATAATAAAGGAATCTGTTCACATTTTTACCGACCACTTTTCCCTGCACTCTCCTGACAGGAATAACTCGGAAAAGGTGGGGAGGTCCTGGAAAAGATTCCCAGAGAAGCTGTGGCTGCCCCTGGATCCCTGGAAGTGCCCAAGGCCAGCACCTGAGCTGGATTTCCTTGGAGCATCCCATGACTCTTCCCAGTCTTTGTGTCCCTCAAGGTCCCAAAGGAGCAGACTCGGAGCCAGACCTGGCTGGGCATCAGCAGGATCAGGACTCAGGTTTTCATGGAATCACTGAGGCTGGAAAAGCATTCCAAGGTCACGGAGTCCCAGCTGTGCCCGGTCCCACCGTGTCCCCAGCCCTGAGTGCCACCTCCAGGAATTCCCTGGACACCTCCAGGGATGGGCACTGCAAACCTCCCTGGGCACTTCCAAGGCCTGAGCGCCCTTTCCATGGGGAAATTCCTGCTGCTGTCCACACACACAGAGACTCCAGCTCCAAACCAGCTCTGGATGGATGGATGGATGGATGGATGGATATGGATGGATGGATGGATGGATGGATGGATG